GCCGCGACGCGGCGAGATACGCGGATGTGAACCTCTCCTCACTAATTAGCGACCGCGATTAGCGAGCCTTCGTAATGAGCGATCGAGAGGTGTTGCGATGGAGGGGAGGGGGAGATGATCTCTCGCCGGTTCCGCGATGATCAAGAGAGCTCTCGTCGAGGGATCGCGGAGGGACGCTTCTCGTGGGAGGGGGGGGAGGGAGATTTCCGGTACGAAATATTCGCGCAGCGATCGCCGCGTACTCTCGGACGTGTGTTGGTCGGCTCCATACATTGTTACGTGTTACATGTCGCCCGCGATTGCCCTGTCACGCGGAGTCGATCGTTCGATGCTCCGCTACACAGGTATTCTACGGTATTGACGCCGGTCTCAAAGCCGACATTTCGCGTGCGATGGCCCAATGTGGGGGATTACCTCGGTGGTAATCCTTAGTGGGTGCATTATCGATGATTGGCGTATTCACGTCGTCGTCTCGAGCCGCTACTTGATTTCCCGGGTAGCTTAAATACAACGTTTAGCTCATGCTTTGCCAAACGCGGCGTGTGAATTACCTTAATGGAAGCGCATATACCGCAGCTGCAGACGGGAGCTGTATTACCCGCTGAAAGATAGTCAAATCGGATTGGAGTGTGGGATTATCGAATTAATTAGGTTCCTCTCGTTACGTGCGATACCGCGCGGCGACGTGTGCGCGACGTAAGGAGCTTATATATAAAATGCGAGCCACGTGGGAGAGAGTTGCGAGAGAGAGAGAGAGAGAGAGAGAGAGAGAGAGAAAGAGAGAGAGAGAGAGGTGGAGGGAACCATCTCCGTATATCGATTATTATGAAACCGACGAGGTATTACTCGCGGAGAGCCGACGCGACGGCTCGATGGCCGTCTGCGATCGCGACGTTTGAAACGGATGGAAAATCCGAGGAAAGGTACGCTGAAGTAGATCATTTCCGACTTATTTCCCTAAAAGTATTACGCTGCGGGCAGAAATTTCAGGAAAGTGTAAAACCTATCGAGGGAAAGGAGACACCGCGAAATACAAGGAGAACTTGCGCAAATTCCGTCGACCGAACGGGTCGAGGAGGAAAGATGCGTAATATTCGGGCTCTCGATCGGTAAGTATCGCGATTATTTCGAAAGCCGGGGGATTAACATAACCGAAACAACAGCGGGAAATGCGTAAACGTAGATCGCACAATTTCTCCGTGTGTTATTAGTACACGGCTACGTCCGCTCATAATTTTCTCGTAACTCGCAATTGGGTATCTTCTTTTTCAATTTTATTTGTCAGTTGTTTTAATTTTTAATTGTTGCTTTGACACAATTGGATCACGGTGAGCGACGATGAATAAAAGCGGCAGCGTGCAAATAGCGTGAAGCGGGATGTAGTCTCGATGAAAGCGAAGTGAAGCGAGAGGACGAAGCCCGACCAACAGAGAGAGAGAGAGAGAGAGAGAGAGAGAGAGAGAGAGAGTCGATAGTGTCTGATCTGGCTCATGCGTAGGATAAACTGATATTTCCGATCGCCGACGCGGATATTAAGAAGGGGCATGTTAAATCCTCGCGGGCGAGACGCGCGAATCCGGCGGAAGGCGTTCTTCTCCCTCGGGCGGAATCCTGAATATTTACCTCGCGTCGAGTCGCGCCACTACAGGGTGCTACAGGGAGGGCGCAAAGAAACGGACCACTGGCAAATCCGGTGAGAGGATTAGCCGTATGCAAAAGAGCAACTCTCTACTACTCGGGAGCGCGCATCCCGTGAGCCGGCAGCGGCGGCGGCGGTGAGAAGAGAGGAACGGAGAGAAACGAAGCGCATTCTCGCTAAGTGCGCGCGCGGGAATTGTACCGGAAGAAACGAAGCGTGAACGTGTCGAACGCGCGCGCCGGCACGTTTCGTTTTTCTCGCGCGCGCGAAGGAAGGGCGGCGAAGGAGAAGCTCCGGGGACGGCAGGAACGCGGAGGCCGAAATAAAAGAAGCCACCGGGAACTCGTAAGTAATAGCTCCGCAGCGGCAAAGCTGATAAAATGAACACGGATAGGTGATGCCGCCGCGTATCGGCTTTTATCTTCTCCCGCGAGCGCGGCTCAGGAGTCGGGAGTGCTAAAATGCGAAGGGAAAAACGAGGATCGAGGTCGGCAAAGGAGACGGCCGAGGGAGCTAAGGGTTGGCAAGCAAGTGGGAAGGTGAACGGGGTGAACCAAAAGTTACCCTTCGTCTGTGAGAGAGAGAGAGAGAGAGAGGGGGGGGGGAGTTTCTCTTTTTCTCGCGTCTTCTCCTCGATCGCTGGAATCCCGCGCTGGTGCCGATATTGCCGCTCGAATATGCCAGAAATAGGATTTGCCGGGTCTAGCGAGATTCGATAAGTTCCGTAATTTGCGTGTAATCGTGACGATGAGATTAGTATGCAAATAATAAAGCTCTCGACGGTGGATCGCCTACGGTACACGAGTGCTCGCGGTGTATCCATTTCTTGGAACTTTTCGATGTCGTCCCGTCTGCGAGAGAATTCATTCTCTTGTTGTCGGGATCTTGAATCGGAGATCATCGATATCGAGGGATCTTCTCAGCAAGTAGTTTAAATATTAAGCGAGAACGTACAGTTGTCTTCTTCCTTGACTGCGCAGAGCAAATTTTCATCGTATCACGCGAAACACTGTAAATTAGCGTAGACACGTATGGATTTTTCAATTTTCCTCGACTTTTTCGTGGACTACGTTACTGGCTATATATATATCTGTGAATTTACATGTATGTGTGTGTGTGTGTGTATGTCATACAGACCGATCGAAATAATATTAAGTTTCTTCGGACTTCGTACAGAGCTGCGTCGCATGTTCCGATAAACGGTGAATTAAATTCAGCCGTGAATCCTCGCATTTCCGACTGGCTCTTACTCGCATTTTCCACTTTACCTTTCTAATCGAATTTTCACATGCGAGTGACTAAGAAACAAGCTCACACGTGCATTTCCGTCAGCCGGATCCGATAATCGATCGAGCGCCGGGGCGATTGTTTCCGTCGTCCGGGTTTTTGTTACCCCGCAAAGTATTGCCGTGCAAATTAGCATTTGTTATTATCGCGTGAAAAAGCCGAAATTGCTAAATCCGTTAAAAATGCCCCGGCCGTCGTCGGCGGGCAATATCGCCGCCGCGCCGCGCCGCGCCGTCGCGCGATAAAACGTATTGTAAATATCTGCCTAAAAAGGTATCTCTTAGCATGTAACGCTCCGTAATTAATTTGTCCCGCGAACACAAAGCGCGGCTCTAACGTCACGCTTTAATCACGTCGCGCGCGCGCGCGCGGCCTCGGGTGTACTCTCACTCGTACGTGAGAGAGACGTTAGACGCGTGCTCTCTCCGCTAAAATTACGTCTAAGTCCTGCAGCGTAATTTTCAATCTATCGGACATTAACGGGCATCCTTGATTATTCGCCGGACGGAAATACTTGAACGTGCTTGCGCGAGGCACGATAGGTAACTGCGCGCTCAAAATCAAAGGGGCTTTTGATATCCTGACCACTCATCGGCCCTTCAAAGAGCGTATTCGGCGTTCATCATCCTCCCTCCGTAATATGCGATTCTATTTTCGCATTTATGGCGATCCCCGTGTGCACCCTGACGGGGCGTAAACGTCCTCGCAGACGACGTCGCCTCCGTCGTCGATTTCTTCGCTTCTCACCGAGCTCGGTGAGACTCGGCGTTTTCGACTCGTCCCCGCTGAAATTACCTAGCGACAGGTATTCCGCGGCCGGTTCCGTTCTCGTGAAAATTCACCGTCGACGATCGCGCACCGCGCAAGGCCGTACGCACACGAATGAAAAACGAAAGATCCAATTACTTTTAACGATTGATCTCATGCTCGCGTCGCAGCGCGATCATCAACAGGTACAACTTAATAGTCTCTCCACGTTCTATTTTGCGCTACGCTCGTCGTCGCTCCGAGTCCGAGCCGGCGAATATTTCGCCGCGGCATGGCGGTCCGCTGGGAGAGAGAGCTTGCTTCACTTAAAACTCACGTCCCGACGACGGCAGAATTTTTGACCGCTCACGGGGAGCTCGAGCGAAAGTCATAAAGGGCGGACTTTGGTGCGAGCGAAATTTTCATTTGACTGTTGGACCGCCGTTACCTACGTAACATTCGCACGTACATGCACACGCGTGCGTCCGTCCTTCCGTTCATCCTTCCGTTCATCCGTTCGTTCGTTCGTTCGTTCGTTCGTTCGTTCGTTCGTTCGTCGGGCCACACGTGCGCTCCCGAGACACGAGTGTGCGTATCGAGGGAGGGTGCGAAGGGGGTAGACCCACTGCCATCCGAGAGTATTATTGCGGTGCTGGCCGGCGGAGAGGGTGGCGGCGAGCACGGGGGATATATCAGCGGGTTGGCGTTTATGTGGCGACCAACTGTCGAGTTAATATTCACGCGATTCTCGGGCTTGACCCTCCCCTCTGCACCCCTACACTCACCCCCGAGCACGCGTCGACGACGTCGCGAAATTCTCGATTTCTGACCCGACTACTGACCTCCTTCCCTCCCTCTCTCTCTCTCTCTCTCTCTCTCTCGAAACCAGCCGTCTCTCGTGGCCGCCGCAGTCCTCGCGCGCATACCGGGTGTCTCATCCTGCGCGAGCTCCGGCGCGTGTTATTTACACTCGATAAAGATTCCGACTGCGCATCACCTCTATAGATAGATTGCCAGGAGAGCTGCAACATTTACGGGGTCGTCGTATGTCGGTCGCGTGACGCTCGTGAAAATTGTAATGTTCCCTCGCGCCCTTCCTCGCGCGAATCTGTAAAACTTTGAAGATGCCGGGAGAGGCTCTGGGTCTCGTTGCGATATCGAGCGGCTGAATTATTGCCGCGCCTCGCCGCAAAAGCCGCGGGGAATTATTATTTCGAGGAGACGCCTCCGTTCCTCGCGCCGCGCCGCGGAGTGCATCGTCGCGAGTTAGTTTACCGAGAGACGCGCGCCTTGTTTTAATAAATACATTTCGTGCTCTCTGTTGCAGTACGTATGGCGTATGGCTTACCCTATGGCATGGCATCGCGGAGCGTCGCGCTGTGCATCCTCATCGCCGCTCTGCTGCACGTCAGTCTCGGTAAGAGTCGACTACACCGCTTGACGAGGGGCGGGGGAGGGAGGGTGAGTACCTTCGTACATCCTCTCGAAGAACAAGGGAACGAGCCCCGGCCGTGGGAGAGGGAGTTACGAAGAAGCAAAAGTTACGAGTTTTTAATCCTCGCGAAATGACAGAATCTCCCTCTTTCCCGCCCTCCCCTCCCATCCCATCCCCGCGAGCGCGACGGTATCGCGCGCGCGTCTCTGTACTTTTGTGCCGCCTTTCTTTGCTCCAGTTTCGGTAGGAATCAAATAGAATCTTGCCGAAGACGCTAGATCGGTAGTCCCGCGTTTCCGCGAGGGCTTAAAAAGAATCCCCGCTTAAAAGGAAGCAGGAATTGCAAAGTGGCGCAAAAGAAAGCCGCCGACTTTTTTCTCCCGCCTCTCGGGGGGAGCGCGGGACGGGACGCGAGCGCGCGTTCCATCCTTATTTATTTACCTATTTATTATTTCCATTATGTAAATATCGGGGACGTTGGGCAGATTTGTAAATTCCTCGGGAGAAACAAATGACCCGAGCTCGAGGAAATTATGTCGCAGCGGAACGTAACAGGCAAGTCGACACACAACTCGCGCGACGAAGGGGATGAAGATTCCTCTCGAACCCAACTTATCCAGCATATTGGATTGACAAGACGGAAGACGCGCAACATCTATCGCGATAAGAAAAATCACGAGGCAGGACACGTGTCCGCGTCCGTGTGCGCGAACGTGCGGCTTGCGCGGCTCCGAAGAATCTCGGACTAGTATTGTCACTTCTTCCCGAACTTCGAAGTGGAAGTTTCTTTCTCGGCCTGAGACAACGGGTCGGTGGGTTTTCCACACACACACACACACACACACATAACAGACTGCAGTCGCGACGTACATACAAGTCGCCGGCCGCACTCGACTCGCATGTGCGAACTAGCAAAAATACCACCGCGCCAGCCGGCCGGGCGCGCGCTCGTTTTTCCGCGCGATAGATCATGATAGATGATGATTACTCCACAAAGTCAGCGAACTTTCGCCCGGCCGTGTTCCAGGTGATTAATAAACACCTCGTTCCTCGGCGAAACTTTCTCCCCTTTCCTTCTCGGTTGCGTGTGTTCACCCCTCCCTCCCCCCCGGGAAGCCAGCCGCGAGGTGCGGATACGGCACGACGGAATATGTATCTCCCTTTTTTTTCTTCATCTCCATTAAACTCCATCCCGTTATTGCGAGAGGATGACCCACGCCTCCACGTTGAGTCTCCGTGGAACGCACGACTTGGTCTCGAATTAGCCTTCGAGCACCGGCAACGCGAGAACACGCGACGGCTGGAATATCGTCCGACGTGACCCCGCGAGCATCCCCTCCCCTCTCCCCCCCCCGCTGAGAGGTTCGCGGCGCATTCGATGCGGTTAATAAACACCCCATCGTGCGGCTCGTCTCGCGCTTAGCCGCGCATGCCGCGTGATAAAAAAGAATTGCGGCCGTCCCGCTTGTGTGTAATACTCGCGTAATACAAGGAAACCGGGACTTACACAGCGGCGACGGGTCGTGCGGGGTGAGGTGGAGGGGGGGAGCGGGGGGCGAGAGGGGACAATGCGACAATGCACTTACATTTCCGTGGCTACACAAGTTGTGTATCAGGTGCGTAAAAAACGTCACACGCACGTCACACACACAGTCGTGCCGCACACCGCGATATGACAAAGGGGAAGGGGGAAGGGAGGGGAGGTGGAGGGGACAAAAAGTAATATTTCCGTCCGTTCATTTTAATCAACGCGCTGCGACGTAGGCCGCGGCCGTCTCGCAGTTAATTTATCTATCGAAAATCAAACTCTTCCCCGGCTCGCTACGACGAGCTTGTCGATCGCTATCATCGTCGTTATTATCGCGCGCTGATGTGGCCGAGATCGGTCGCTCCTACACGAGCAGAACATCGTCCCACGGCCGTGTATTAAAACCCAGTCCGGTTTCGAAATTTCAACTAGGTCCCGGGTAACTTTATCGAATCCGGCACGTAATAAGGAGTGAAACGCACTGCTGCATAATGCCCTGATAAAATTGCCTGAAATCGAGAAACCTGATGGAATGTCCCCATCAGGACCAAATCAGGCATCCAAATAATGACGTCATCGCTCAGGTCAGGGTATAATCCGGAAAATATTGCAAGACAATTGATATTCCGACCGGATAAGGACCACTCATAATGCCTTCTTATGCTTTGCCTAGTCATGCCATATCAGGCATAGAAAATTGCCGTATTTGATTTCTGCTCGGTATGCGCGCATACGATAACGCGCGGCGATCTGGATAAAATTCGGCCGCCGCGCGGAAGAAGGATGATGCGCCGCGTATACGGCCAATTTCCGAAATTTGCCGCAATCGAGATTTGCCGTTTGCCACGTCCCCATTCGTAACCGGTACACGCACGCACACACGTATACACGACACGACACACACACACACACACACGCACGCACATGTGTACACAGGTCGACGGCAAGTTGGCGAGCTAATTTAGGATTAACTTTGTGGATCGTTAGTCGCGGCGCATAACCGTTAATTGCATAATTCAGGTCAAACGCCACCCAAGTCCGAGGTCCTACCCGAATTTCTGGCACTCTTGGAGAACTACACGGTCGTTCAAGGTCGTGACGTCTCCTTCACCTGCGTCGTTAATCATCTTCAATCTTACAAGGTAACTGCGCTCGCTCGCGCGTATGTGTAATTAGCTAGTCGATTAGGGCCACACCGCTCGAAATCGTAAGTAGCGGCCTGAATTGCATTTCCGTAAATACACTCGACGCAACCCCGTCAGTTAGATTGTATTGTCAGGTAATTGCGAGGTAACAGCACGTGCGCGGAAATATATATATGTGTATATATATATATATATATTTGTGCACACAGACGACGTCAATTATTTTACAACGAAGCTACGGTAGTCTTAGCGATACGCTCCACTCGCTGACGGGTTATTAAATGTGAGAGCCGCCATATCCTGTCTCATATCGCTCGAGATCCTGCGACGAAAGGAAAACACGTGATAACGAGCAATTAATGATATATTAGCAGAAACACGTGGAGGAGGAGGGAGGCGGGGGGTTGGAGGGAAGAAGCATATTGATGCTGTCAAAGAGTGAAATATATATTGATATATTTCACTCTTTGAGTTAATTGCGTCCTTCGATTTTCAAACGAGGCTCATATCGCAGGACTAATAATCTATATGACACACGGTAGGGCGAACAAAAGTACGCGCTTTGAATCGTATTTAGGTGAAATTGCATTGTCCGCGGTGTGAATGTTGTCCGACATTAATTATCAGCGCCTGTTCGGTGTTCGCGTTAATAACCGGGAAGAAGGGTAATTTACACGTATAAAAAAGCAAGACTCGGCGCTTCTCTCTCTCTCTCTCTCTCTCTCTCTCTCTCTCTCTCTCTGAAAAGAATTTCAAGTATACACCATCCACTCTCCGGCTCGCTCGATTCTCGCGAAGCTCTTAAGAGAGGAGCCGCGGGCGAAAACGTCACAAACGTCAAGATATTTTCCTTGAATTTGCATAGTGAAACAATGCAAATCAAGCGAAGCCATCGGAGAACCGGCTGCGACGGAGGGACAAAAGAACGAGGAGAGAACACATACCTTGTCGAGTCGACGGGGCGCGGGGGGGAGGGGGAGCCCGGGCGCTCGCCTATCGACTAAACCGACTCTCTCGGGGTCTTTTTTCCGCGCCCGCGGTGCGCTTACACGTGTACACGGTGACTAGGTGGGTACAGAGAGGTCAGACATCAAGTGGATCCACGTTGGCCATGCGTGTAAGCAACACGATCGAACTTCTTCATAAGAAGTCTTTCCGCTAATTACTCGCCGTTTGGGCATGCGCCCTCGAGAGAAAATCGCCGGCAAATTGGCCGAACATAACAAGTCTGTCATTACAATTTGGCGCGATTGTCCCGAGCAAAAAATTGTTAGGACCATGAAACGTAAAGCCTCGATAAGGCTGAAAGTAGGATGCCTTAAAAAGGGATTCCTTATTATCATCACATCAGGCCCGGAGATGGATTTTTTAAGGATGCCTTAGATTTTACGAAATAACTGACGCTTTAACATGGACACGGAAACTGATGTGGGCCTTAGAAGGATCTTTGAAGGATGCTTCAGATATACAAAATCAAGTTTTGTTATAGAAAATTAATGAATTCTGAAGCATGTAATAAAATTGTCGTAGTTTTGTATTGTTTTGATAGGTGCACTCTCTATCTGGTTCTTTTAAAGATCTTTTAATCATACCGCAATTAAAAGCAAATTTCATTAGTTTTATTAGTTGCCATATTTATTAGTCTCTTCCAAGGAGTCTTTTTCTAGTAGAATGCTATATTTTACTGTAAATATGCTATATTTTTAAAATAAAAAATTCTTGTTATATACTAACAACTAAGGTAATAAAGAAATAAAGTAAATAATTACAGTATAAATTTCTTGGAATGAAAAGAACGAATATTTTTACTCAAGCAATAATAAAAATATTTCCTTATAAGGCCCTATTAATATTGTTATAAGGACCCGTTTGTTATAAGAAACCATTTGTTACACATCTTGCAGGATCCCCTTGTCCTTCTATCTCTACTAGAGCTCGATTAATGTTAGGGAAAAATAATCAGGCCCTTACCAGAGCCCTATTAATTTTTTTACTCGGGGTTAGGGGGTGAGAAGGAACGATGATGGGATTATGAGGAATAATATAAGTAATTCGCGCATCTTCTATCCGAGCGAATGCGATGTTACCGAATCTCAATCTTAACTTAATCCGTCGAGTCAGCGGATCGCGTGTGTTTTCCGGTGCAATCTTGTTCCGCGAACATCGATCGTGACTTCAGCACGGAAACATTCGCTCTTCGTGTATCTGTAGTCACCGGCATTCTCGTGTGCGCGCGTATATATATATTTGTGTAAGTGCACGCGCGCGCGCGCGTGTGTGTGTGTGTATGTGTGTGTTGGAAAAAGATAGCTTGCAGCTGCGTACCGGAGTCCAAGGAGCTTCCCGGCTCCGGGACAGAACCGGCGAGTAATTCACTTTCAAGAAGAAGTCCAAGTTTGATTGCGCGCTCAGATCGCGACAATCGTTTCTATCGCGTTTCTAACGCCGTTGGAGCGTGCTCGGGTCTCGCTGTCTCGTCGCTCGCGGCTCTCGTCGCCGGAGGGCAGTGTCTTTCTCTCTTTCTCTTCTCCCTCGTCTTCCGCTCTGCCTCTCCTTCCGGAAAGAGAAAAGAAACGACGGGAGAAAGGACATAAATCAGATCCGCTAATATAGCGTCGTGAATAGCCCTGATTTTTGCCGGCGAGCTCCTCCTTTCGCGACGACTCCGTCGTCGTGCTGACTTTGCTTGACACCGTTTATACGCGCCTTACGCATCTCAGCGACGTGATGATTAAACGTCAAAGTTGCCGTCAAGAACACGTCTGATTGCGCAATCGTCGATCGTGCGTGAGATCCTTCGTGCTTCGCCGCGGTGTAAATAATAATTAGCTGGAAACACGACATACGAGGAAAACTGATTTCTCTCTCTCTCTCTCTCTCTCTCTTTCTCTCTCTCTCTCTCTCTCTCTCTCTCTCTTGTTGTTTTTCCGATCCGTGCGAGGCACCTCTGGCGCAGAGCAATAGCTCGCCTTGTTGGACACGCGATGGACGTTGCGCTGAATAAAAATTGCGGAAACAAGCCGGATCGGAATCGCGTGCGCGTGCGGTCTTATGATTTCGCGCATCGTTCGCGTGCGCATTTTTCTGCACAAATTTTGCGCACGACACTCGCCGTCATTTGTATCGGCTGTATTTGCGCAAAGTCGCGAGTTTTTAATAGTTGAGTTTGCTATAAATAACGCGCGATAACATTTAACGGCCTCCTGCCGTTTCGCCTCCCGCGTCTCGTTTGAATACATTGTTGGCGCAAAATATTATTTTTCGTATTTCTCTTTGTTTAATCAGTCCGACGTTTTTTTTTTTATAATATCCGTGTTTTTTTTTTCTTTCTTTTTTTTTTACCACGCGAATATATTTTATCCTCTGCATAGCTCTGCGTGCGATTTGATTGCGATCAAATGAGAGAGAAAGAGGGAGAGAGAGAGAGAGAGAGGGGGAAAGTGAGAGAGATGAAAAAGAGGATTCGTTGTGTAAACGCGAAAAAGAGAGCGTCAGTCGGCTCAGATACACATCGAAAACTGTTTAATTTGGCAGCTACCTCGAACTCGTCGCATTACACGTAACCGTGTATCCGGTAACGTCTAATCTCAGAAATTTAACCCTTTGCTGCAGCCCCGTGCAGCGAGCAACCAGTACAGCCGTATCTAAACCCACTAGCGCTGTCTCTCTCTCTCTCTCTCTCTCTCTCTCTCTCTCTCTTTCTCTCTCTGCGGAAACTCGAGCCTCCAATTAGATTCGAATGGCGTTTACGCCAGGCAAGTTTATTTGAAATTAATTGAAAAGTTTAAAATGGAGGGCTGTGTCTCGCGCCGGCGACGCCACGCCGCTTCCCGAAACACGGGACATTTCCCAGTCAGCGGAGTTGTATCGCAGATCGCGGAAAAATCTGCAGTTCCCGGCCTCTTTCGACTGAGATATTTCAGACAATTATACCGGCGAATAGTGAGGCTCGTTTTCGTCAAAAAAAGAGAAAAAAGGAACGATCTCTCTACTTCAGGGGGGGGGGAGGAAGGGGGCGGGCGGATACGTGCTCTTGCGCGGCATATTTTCTCATTAAAAGCGGATTTTAACGGATCTCTCATTTCGGGAACGACCGTTTCGAATATACAAGATAGATGTGCGCCAAGTAAACACGCGCCAATGAAGGCGCACCCGTATGAGAGAGACCGAGAGAGGAAGAGAGCGAGCGAGCGAGCGAGCGAGCGAGAGAGAGAGAGAGAGAGAGAGAGAGTGTGAGAGGGAGTGGATAGGAAGGAAGGAGGTAGAGAGGGTAAGAGGAGAAGGAGAGAGGGAGATAGAGAGAAATGCATCTAAATACTGAATGCCGCACGTGTACGTCTAAATCCAAGTACTAAATGTAGTAACTAAATGCCACCTAATACCGTCGTAAATGTAATACCTCGGGAGATGCAATGCCACTGTAGATCGCGTGCATCAGATATATCAGATATCCGTAAGGACATATCAGCCAATTGCTCGGCATGCGAAGGATCATACGGACCAGGAGGGGGGACATTGCCGAGCAGAGAGAGAGAGAGAGAGCATCGTCGCCACATGAAAGCACCATTTCCAACAGGTAGATTGTGCGCGCGGACACTCTTTCTCCCTTTCTTTCTCCCCCTTCCCTCCCTCTCTCTCTCTCTCTCTCTCTCTCTTACTCTCATCTCGGCGTATTTATGCGCGCCTTAAATTCCATTGCCGATCGCGAGACTCCGCAACGGTCTTTTGTTCGCGGTTTAAAAGCCCTTTCATCCGCTCAATGGCTCGCACCGTCGTCTGAAATATGACAGATCGAGCTGTCGAGTCGCCACCGCCGAGCGAGCGAAGGGGGGGGATGGTGTTGCGAGCGCGCGAAGGGACGCGGAAGGGTAAGGCTCGGTGTAAACCCAAGCGGAATTTGAGTGCAGCTCCGAGCGTTGCGCGCCGCTATGAATGCCGATAAGCGCCTTTCGCGAGGTCCCCGCGACGCTTTTTAAGCACCGCCAGCACCACCGCCGGCGCTAATGAAGAGTTCGCGCTCTCTTTGCGCGAGGCTCAGCTTCGATCTCCCTTCTGCACCCGGCCGCCCCTGCGCCCCCGTCAGCAGAATGCAAGAGCCGCGCCGCGCCGTCGCGGGGTAAAAAAGCCAGAAATTCCCCTCTCTGCGCAAGTCCCGCGTAAGCCGCGGCGCGTTACTTATCTTTACGGCGCCCTTTGTCGCGATCTCGCGAGGAGCTCTATTGTCGCGGTCGCGCGCGATTAACGGATTACGGCGAGGCTAGAAAAATAACTTCGTTCTCCGCGCGCGCACACACACGATTGTCTCGGTGCCGCCGTCGCTTCCGCGCGATCCAATTATTAACTTGCGCGGTAATGGTGACCAGAGTAAAATTCTCCCGTCGATTCAGCGGCCGCGCGGCGCCGATCGCGTTTTCACGCACAATCGATTCATCGGCGGCCGTATTTATGGAAATGTTATGTAAACATTAAAGAGAAAATATATTACACTCGACAATGCATGCGTCGCGGGCGAAATGGAATGTGCGTTTTACAAATATATCGCGATCGCTCCACAGCGATATGCGCTAAAATCTTTTTGATATCCGTCGCGCGGCGGGCGAGGCGTTTGTGAAAAACTGCGAGCGAGTGTCCTGACATATTTTTCTTGCGAGACAATGCCGCGTGAAATTTCGCGAAATAGAAGTTCGCGCGCGCGCGCGCGCGAGGACGTCGATTATGCGGAACTCCGGGATCAATCGATGGACGAAGGTGAATATTTACAGCGGTGGACGTTTTAATGCACGTGTATATTAATGTGTGTAGGCAGTCCGCGTGATTGTAAAACGCTGCTTTCCCGCTTGTCTAGCCGCAATCGTATCTGCCAATACGGGCGAAATGAGCACTTTTGTTACGTCACGCGCAGGTCGCCTGGATAAAGTCGGATTCGAGGGCGATTTTGGCTATTCACACTCACATGGTGGCGCACAATCCGCGTTTGTCCGTCACTCACAACGGCCATAACACATGGAAGCTGCACGTGACTAACGTTCAACCGAACGACTCCGGCACGTACATGTGTCAGGTTAATACGGATCCTATGAGGAGCCAGGTCAGTAGAGCCGCTGAACATTAGGGCGACAGTCATCGCGTCCTCCGTCACGTCCCTCTCGCCGAATAGGGACGATGTCGTTCCGCCGACTCGCCGCATGAATGCAGCGTGTCATACGTGCGTGTACGACCGCGCCGAATGGGCAACATTCAGTCGCGGAGTTGGAAAAACACGCAACTCACTCGCGACAATAAGCTCGTTTGTGTAAAGTGCACGCTTCAACAAGGAAAATTCAAAATTAAGCCCGACGTTTCGATCGGCACGCGCTTGTGCCTGCCGAGACTTTGGAAAATCGAGCGTTTCTGATACCTTCGCGATTACGACGTTGATCGCAAAGATGTTTCTTTTAGCGAATTTTCGGCTTCTGAACAGCCGCAGTGAGCAGATTTTACATACAATACCGATTCGTACGTTCCACTCTCTCGCGATTGTCACGGATTTTTGGGGAAAAGTTGACGGACGTGTTCGAAAGAGAAGAGCCCGAAGCACGTCGGTATGTATCGTCGTGCAGGAAGTAACATCAACATACAGGTCAGTATGACGGGTTGCTCGCCCCTATTCGGACGATAATGCAGAGGTTGCGAGGTAAAGAAAGTCACTCGTTGACTTTGTTGATAATGATATTTACGGTGCTCCCGCAGTTATGACAAGTGTACTAACTAACTAACTAACTAACTTAGCACCGTGATTGTTACGACCGTGAAGTTTATCGACCGCTTATCGACAGGACTCGAGCCTTATCGAATCCAAAAGGGGTTGATTCGGAAAAGTGAAACTGAGAAATAAATATTACGGAATTAAGCAGAATAAATAAGAGTAATAGTGAAGGAGATAAACAATACAACATATGAGTGACTTTTTCGGCAACCTCTGTATTAACGTCCGAACAGGGGCGAGCAACCCGTCATACTGACTTGTACGTATGTTGATGATGTTACATGCACGGCACGCGGGTGTGTCGCGAAAATCTGGGTAAATCTGGAAATCTCCAGGCGCGAATCCTAGCAATCTCTGGCGGGCGTTAAACGGACATCGAGACATCGGATATTCGCCGAAGGAAATCCGATAGTTGTCGAGCTTGATTTAAGTATCCCCGGCGGGAGAGGATTCGCGGTCGAGGGAGGGTCCTGCTTCCTAACGAGTGCGAACTTTGCGCGCAGACCGGTCACATGAAGGTCGTGATACCGCCCGACATCATGGACCTGGACGACACGGCGGATCAGCTGACGACGAAGGAGAACGGCGACCTGCGGCTGCGATGTCGCGCCACCGGCACGCCGGCACCGTTGGTGATCTGGCGGCGGGAGGACGGCAGGAACATCACGCTGAGGAACGAGCACGGCGTCAAGCGAAGTACGTACGCGCGCCGTCGACGTAAGTGATCCGCCCTCTGACTCGTATCTCGTCGAACCGGCCGGAAAAAGCGAGCCGGAAAAAGTACCGAAGGAAGTGAAAGGGTATGGAAAAAAGACAAACCGATGAAATATTCCAGAAGAAAGGAAATATGCAGAGGGTTTGACGCGGGGAAATCGGCTCGAACGTAAAGCAGAGGAGAAATCTTTCATGTCTCTTCGCTCCGCTCCGCTCCGCTCGGAAATTCGAGAAGGATGCGCGGGACACGGAAGAAAGTTGACGCTTTCGCGTCGCGAGAAGACCGAAGGATATTTCGCGTGTGATAATGAGATCTCGCGTTTCAATTTCGATCAGTCGTTAATTAACGGAGCAACGGCTTTGGACGCTCTTGGATGAAAGAGCGGGCGGCGCGCGCTGCCGCGCCTGTCGCGGCTTTAAAAATGATGAATGATTAGAGTTCCATCATATCCCCCGCATTCGCGAGGCGCGCGCCATTAACGTCGAAATGCGCTTCCACCGAAAATCTAAATGAAATCGGGCGACTTTATCGCCGGCTAACGACTACGAGCGATTAACGATTACGAGACGCGCGCGTGTGAACGGAGAAAAAGGAGAGGCGAAAGAAGGACGCGCTCGGTCATGGGTTAAATCGCGGTTTCCGCGTCGAAATGAGCTTCCAATCGGCCAGCGGGTGAAATATTTCTCGCGCGGAGCGCGTCGCTTTCAGAATAATCCACCCGGACGACGACGACGACGACGACGGGGGCGAACCAGAGACAGCAGCAGCAGCAGCAGCAGCAGCAGCAGCAGCAGCCGCTTGGTTCGCCCCGTGTCCCGCGAAAAAGCAGCCGTCGGATTAGCCTCCCTGACTGTGAGTGATGGATGTTGACTTTACATATATTTCCTCTTCGCCCACCCTATCGACTCGCGTATACCCGATTGCGATATTCAGTGTGTACACTGCGTCGCGCGAGCGTGCGCCGCGGCGGTATCTCCATCCCGCCAGCGACTTCGCCGCCATCTTCGGCCGGCGGTGTTGGAATTTTCGGCTTTACATTGTTTCCCTTAATGACCGTGTCCCGTGTATGTCTACGAGAGGATTGGACGGATCTTTTTACCTTGTCGCGCGCGTTTCACGCTTTTCAACGATATCTCGGGCGCACGGGAGGCGCACACTCGATCCTTTGCGTGAACGCAGAGAACGCGCAGAGCTCGGCGCTCTAAAATGTGTGTGAGTGTGAGTTTGCGGAGAATAACTCCGCGAGATGCTTCGTTTGAATCCGAGGCGAGAAGCTTCTCGCGGGAAAAATGCCGTGGAGAGATCGCGATAGTTTTCGATAGTTGTCGCGCGGAGGAGTTCGAACATGAAAGGTTTCTTCACAAAGCGCGAGCCTCGTTGGTGCGGCCGCATTTAGCGGAGCTTCCTTCTCTCTCATTTGATCAGCCAGTGATAGGGTCTCGTTTAATTCGACAGTTATATGTATTTGTATATATACATAAGAAAAAACGTTTATCCCATCCAAGTATCGCTAAGTCGGGAGCGAGCCCGAGTGAATCTTTCGTAGTCTTTCGTCATGTCGGAAATGTTGGCACAGTGAAAACATACGAGGGCGAGCAGCTTCATCTGCGGGGCATCCTGCGGCAGGAGATGGGCTCTTATCTTTGTATTGCGTCGAACGGCGTGCCGCCGTCGGTCAGCAAGAGATATTACGTGAACGTCCATTGTAAGTGCACGTGCGTGTTCGTACGTAGCGAGGCTTCGCCTCGCTTCGACTCGCGCGCGACCCTAATTGCATCTCTCTCGTTAAAGTCAAGCCGCTGATTAAGGTATCGAACCAGTTAGTTGCGGCGCCGGTAGACAGCGACGTCCTTCTCCAGTGCTACGTGGAGTCCTCGCCGAAGGCTCTGAACACATGGCACAGGAATAATGGTGAGATATAATGGTTGAACACTCGTCTCGGTAGTCTCCTAAGGGGGGAATCGCATGCGAAAGGCCGCATGTTTTCCAGACTATTTTTACGAATTTTACGAATATTTTATGAATTTTTTTTTAAAGAAACGGTAGGATCAATGGACTTGAAATTTTCACAGCGTATTCGTTAACGATCAAGGTATAAAATAAATTTTATTGAATCCAACTTGTAATTATAGATAGAAATGCAGTCATCCGTTTGCGAGCTCTATGTTTGCATAATTTCGGGCCTCCAACTATGCTGAGACCAAAAAATGAGGAAGATTTTAAAAATGTACGGTTGCCATTATCAGCCCGTACCAAAATGAAGAAGGCAGTGAAGCCGAGTTTGGAAAAATAATGACGCTGTGCGAAAGAAAGTATCGAAAATGAAACTTTTTTCAACTCGTAATCATGTTTAAAAACAATGAATAAAATAATATATAACTGTGTTCGAGGTAGGAGCTACATGTCTATCGTACTCATGTATATCGTGTAAAAATTTCAAGTTAGCTCTTGCGCAATCGTGTCGACAGTTTAAGGAAATGGTGTTTCCAGATAAACGCGTTTAAAGTTTTATGTATACTTTACTTGTATAGATAGTAACAAATTTGTTTTATACTTTGAACATTAATGAATGCGCTGTGAGGGTTTCTGAGAGGTCCATTGATCTTACCGTTTCCGTTAAAAAAAATTCGCAAGGGTGGCCTTGAAGGCGTCCTGCCCCGCATAGCGTAATGCTCCCCCCTTAACGCGATCGCGAGTCAAGTTGGGCAAAACGATCGAGAATTAGAATTATTCGAGTTTCTCATTATTGCTCCGTTAAATGATTTAGCCGAGGAGTGAAAATACGCGCGTTTTTCCCTGTCCTTCCTGTCGCAATCATAAATTCGAAATGTTTCAATTCTCTTAATAGCGAACCGCTCACCCGATATTATTGTCATCTTCCGCTTCGCGAAAACAGAATTCGTAGGAGGAAAGATTGCAGATAAACGAATAGATCGTCCTGCCTAAAAGTGTATACACACACAGCGACAGACAGGCACAAAGCGGTCGCGCGGTAGAATTATTTCCGAAGATATCCACTTCAGGAGTCAAACTGCTGGAGGACGAGAAGCACGAAATATCGGAAGTAACGATCAACGACTACGCGTATCAACTAAATCTCACCGTCAGACGTCTCGACCGCTCTGACTTCGGCACTTACACGTGCTCCGCCGAGAACACTTACGGCAAAGCGGATGGCACCATAAGGCTGCAAGGTACAGTACAAACTAACCGATATACCAGCAGTGCGCGAATCTCTCCGCACGCAGCGCGGAAGTACAATCGCGAGTTCGCAGTCCCGTGGAAAAGCCGGCGGCGCGGCGGAGGCCGAGCGGCTGATTTTTCGCAAAATTCGCGAGCTCGAGGTTCGCGCGCAAATTACCTCGCGGCCGAGAGCCGCCGACCGAGCCGGTAATTTGCAAGGCGCGCTTCCCTCCATCTCCCGCCTCAAGTGGACCTTGCGAATTATCATCCGCGCGCCCTCTCCGCCCAGCCATTCATTATCGCGCAACACACAGCCCCCGTAATCGTTCGCCCGCGTTTTCGCTCCGAAAAAGATGCAACTTGCAGAGCTGCACTTGCCGCGACCTACGGTAACCTCGACGAGCAACACGGAGGCCATCGAGAAGCACACCTGGCGGAAGCAATCGGAGAAGAAAGGGAAGAAGTACTCGTACGTGGTCGGTAAACCGGACGCGGAGCTGGGCGCGATGAACGTGGGTCACACCACGCCGATGTCCAGGAGAAACGTCTCGAGCCCTTCGCCGTCGAACGCCGCGAACAAGCCGAGGATGTCGGTGTTCCCGGCGCCGGCGCCGGCGCCGGCACACTCGGCACCCACGCAATCGGGCGGTCAAAACGGCGTTCGATCGTGGCGCGAGCCGCGACTGTGCTGCTGCGTCGGCCTCATCCTGACGATCCTGATGATCTTGGCTCGCGACTGAAAGCTGCCGGCGACTGGAAACTTTTCGCTGTCAGAGATGCTGTCAGAAGGTCGTACCGTATCGCGAAATTCGACTATTCCCAGCGTGATTTCGATCGCACGCGGAAGGTGCACATTCACGCACACGCCTGGATGATGACGAATTTACGTTTCCACGATCCCCGTCGCGCGGGAATATACAACTCCCCCGCCCTATATTTTTGTCCAGACACACCGCGAGAGCGTACCGTGAACGAAGGAAGCGCGAAATACACATATCGACAGCTTCGGTACTTCGCTGTAAATAAAAACGGAACATTTTTATGACAATAAATGTAGCTGCGTATATATATATATGTATATATATATATATATATATATGTATATATATACGAGAGAAGTAGAATCGCGTCTCGTTAGAAGTGCGCGTTCGCAATTGTCATTGTTAAACTCTTAGACTGCGGGCGCGGCGGGCGGAAGCAGGGCGATCTTTGCGTGAACTAATGTTAGTCGTCGCGATGTTGACGAACAGTGAGGACGCCTTTAGGCGTTGTACACACACGCTGAGGACTCCCTGTCGAGCACCGTGCGCACTCCAAGGGTTAAACAGTACGTATTATTCGCGGGTACCACGCTTTGTTTGCCGAGACTTAATTTTTCGTTGGATTACAGGCGGTGGAGAGAGAGAGAGAGAGAGAGAGAGAGAGAGAGAGAGAGTGAGAGAGAGAGAGAGAGAGGGGGGAGGAAGGGAAGAGTGAAGTTTTAATTTGTTCGTGTAAGTATCGCGCGATTAAATCCGATAAACGTAGGTTTACATCGATTAGAATAAATCAAGAGGGGTCCATATACCAAAAGCCGACCGAAGTGGATTCGCTCGTCTGTAGGAGCAAGCCGTATTTATGTCTAACGAGAGTTGTGGCATTCGTGTATATATGTATGACAATAAATGTTGTTTCTACTATCGCGCACGAACGTTGTTCCACCTTCTTCGCGATTAATTATACAGAGTGCCTCAACGCTCCTTCTCTCCCGGACAGAGTCTCCCCTCGGACGTAACATTTTTAAGTCCTTCCTCATTGAAGTATAACGCGCATGCGCGCGCGCGGCTATTATCGCGGCATTTCGCTAATGAGTGCTGACACACACAATGAGATAGTATTATCATATTATTGCCAACGCCAAGCGGGAACTGTTTTTTTCTGATATACCGCAAGGTAAATTGGAAAACTGATACGAAATATCTCTAGTAAGAAATGTTACACTCGTACTACACAATCGTACACGAATTCGTACGTAGAATACCGCGTGATGTTCGCGGCGTCAGTCAGCGGCGGAAATATAAAAATAAGTGCGTAGAATTCCCAGTTAGCGAATTGCTGCACGGGTCGTTATCAGGTCGTTATCAGGTCGACAAGAGGAAGAAGCCGCGAGGATGTGCCCGCCCACGTGCCGTTCGCTCCGCCGCACGAGACACGTCGAGGCGCCGAAGATGGTCAGTTAGCTGTGCGGACAAGTCGCAGGCGGATCCGACGACGATGAAGCGTTTGCTACTAGTTTGCGCCTTTTGCGCCCTCCTCGAAGCCGCGTCCTCGTCGGTGGCCGCGGCGGTGTCGCCGTGCGCGATAATTACGTCCAGGCGCGCGAACACCGTCACCTACCGATGTGCGCAATTAACGACGCTGCAAAAGTACTTGAACAAAGCGAGAAGCAATACGACGACCATCGTGATTTCCGAATCCAAGTTACCCAATATAGCCGGGTAAGCGAGAAATCTTGCAGGACCGCGCGCTGCCGGGGAATGTCGGAAGATTTCCGGTCGGACGGAATGATATGAAAAATATATAATTAGACATATAATTAGCACGGTATAATTAGATTAGAAATTGTAGGGACTATATTCACGGATGACGATATTTACACACTTTCATATTACTTCTATCTTTGTTTAAATTTTTGCATTTTTATCTTTTCCGAAATATCTCGTGTCTCTTCCGCGCTCAGCGCGCATCTGAGTGCCTTCGAAAATATTCGTGTTACTTTTTTTCCTTTTTTTCCATCGGAAAAATCGCGCGCCAACGCAAATCCATCGCCGCGCACCTCTTTGTGACGTTTCTTTGTCTTGCCAAAGGCATAGTTTCGCGAGATTCGGCGCTACCTTGGTGGTCCTGGACCTGCACGAATCGGGCATAGAGACGTGCGACGCCGCGGCATTCGTAGGCCTCACGAAGCTGGAAAAACTGATGCTCTGGGGCAATAAACTTGCTTCCGTGCCGGGAGATTGGTTCGTGAACATGCACTCCCTGAAGACCTTGGATTTATCGTTCAACTTTATCCGGGGGATCGACTACACGGTCTTTCAAATGCTTCCTTCTTTAGAGAACTTCTACTTCGACTACAACCAGCTCCGCTATATCGACTACAATATGTTCGCCTACCTGGGTAATTTGAAGAAGGTGAAATTTAGCAAGAACCCGTGGAGCTGGGCGTAAGTTACTTCATTATTAACTTCAGGCAGTCTGACGGGCAAGTTTTACCTTTATACGAGCGTTCAGCAGTGTAGCGCCAATCCCGCAAAATTTATTTTAACAAGGTCTCTCCTCAACTTTGTGTATGTCCTTTCTTTCTCTTCGCAAGTATATGAATTAATGGCGCTGATAAAATGGAGATAAACGGCCCTTTGCGAACGCCTTTCCTTCGCCCGATGGAGAGAGAGAGAGAGAGAGAGAGAGAGAGAGAGAGAGAGAGAGAGAGAGAGGGAGAGAGAAGCTGTTTGCCACATCGTGTACTAAGCATAAGGTACTAACGCGCGCTGTGCTTCTCTTCAGATATCGTGCTCGTTTGACGTGGCAGCTGGAGAACCAGAAGGTCGAGGCGTCGGACGTGTGGGAGGATTGGAACTGGATGAACGTCGTCATCAAAGACTGCATCGAGAGCGGTCGGGGCGAGCTGCCGAGCGATAATGTTCTCGACTGCATCGTGGAAAAGCTGCTAACGTTCACGTACGAGACGTTCAGCGAGCAGGAGAGGAGCAGCGTTGCAGGTTGCGGCGAACAGGCTAGAAGACTGGTACGCTGCATGAGACCCACCAACGTTACCGGCAACAGCGATTACGGGACGGTGCGGAGAATCCTCGAGGATTACTCCGCCGTCTTGCCGCCGTTGCAAAGGGCGCTGATTCCTTTCTCGTCAAGACGATAAACGGTGCTCTCAGGCTGCATCCTCTCTCTGAGGAGCCTCTCTTCAGGTAACCTCGAGGCATTAATATTAATTTATTACATTGATTTACGGTGCGTGCAATCTCGCGGAAGATGTCCGGGAGATGACGGATAAATTGAAGAGAAACGTTCAAACGCGCATTTCGATCGAGCTTGAGTTTTCCCGTGAAATACAGTCGAGACAAGTTAAGCAGATAAAACAGGCAGGATTGAAAAATCTTACAAAAACAGTATTTATTAATCGCTTACTCGCTGTTAGTTGTACATTTGGAGATTTACAATACAAACGTGATACAAGGCGATCAGCTTTCTCGACAAAGTGACACGCTATGCGTGCGCTCTCGGGCTAAAACGAAAATTCCGCACTGTCGTTACTTCATTCGAACCAAACGTGGAAATTTAATCTTATTGCCGTACCAACATAAAAGAACATTTAAAAGCTTGTATCACTTGTGATAAACGTATATCCGCTAAATGTTCATTAATTTAAATAAAATTATAATTCACAACACAAACACTCTTTGATCGCACACATTGGCGGTAACAAATAAAAGGTTTTACAAAATCTTTCGCAGTACATGAAACTGATAAGTATTCTGTGAAATAACATCATCGTATATAAATAGACATGTACCAGAGACGCAGAGAGTTCATTGCATTAAGTAATAAATTATTCGAAGCAATCGCAATGGCTTTACGTATGTATTGTACGTTTAAAAATGATATTTCTCATATACAAATAGAATATTTCATCGAGCGTTTTACACTTTTACAATCTCTTTTCTCTTCTTATCAATTGGAAATTGAATGCATCGAATGCAATGTTGAATACATATTTAGACACTTGTTTTAAAAGATATATTGTCTCAAAGTAAAAATTTAAAATCAGTTTCTTCGGACCGAAAGACTTCGTCAGTAACTGATAAATAATTAATTCAATTGTGTTAAAAATCAGACAATGCTAACGGGGAAGGCTCATTCGATCCTTCTCGTGCGATTATACCGCGGCAGCAATTTTTACGCACGCCAGCAATGGTTGATTAAAAAACGAAGTAAATACGAACGGTTGCAAATCTGGTCGTAAATTTAATTTTGTGCCATTGCTGGCTACCAAGTAATCGGCACAGCAATCATAGGATTAACGTTCATTGTTGGTTGGATGTAATGGCCGTGGCCAGGTGGTTGCTCCACTGTAAATATACCTGAAAAACAGAATTAAAGTGCGGTACATTATGTGCCGCGAGAGAGAGAGAGAGAGAGAGAGAGAGATACAAATTTTTTCCTCCCGAGACGAGCGAGACGCAAATAAAATTTCGCGGTGAACGGACTTGTTGATTATATCGCGCGTCGAAAGTACAAATTTTATAAATTTTTCGAATATTGGCACAAACGGACGCTTTTCACCGCTATATTAATCCGGATGGGAAACATTTTGTCAAAATCCTTTGATTTTAACGCGCAAATAGAGAAGAAAATAATCACAGGCTTTCGATGAAACAGCGCGAGTCCGGGATACGTACCGTTCTTTGCGAATGTGCTCGTTAAATAGTGATACATTTTCACCGACACCGCGCTGATGGCTGTATGCTTCGACGTCATCGGTTCCCCGTGAAACTCGAAGAGCACCATCTGTTCTTTGTAGGCGGTTACCTGGAACAACGCGGACGGGAGGACAGAGAAATCTTGTTGAACGCGCGACAAGCGACGCAGGACAGACAGACAGACAGACAGACAGAAAGTGTAACTCGGAGATACTCGCTTTGCCCACGTATTTCGTCGTATTCTCTATCGGCAGGCAGTTGAATACGCACACCGCGTCGTAGTGTTCCCTGATGAGGTTCTGCAAGATCTTCATCTGCGCCAGATAAATGCCCTCGTCTTCGTGCATCTTCACGTGCGCCTTCGAGCCGCGTCTTTTGCCGTGAGCTTGTTTCGGGTACCCTCCTTTCGAAGCAGTCCGCACACCCGAATTGGCCACGGCCTCGCGAATGTACCGTTGCCTCTCGATAAACTTGGACGCTCCGATAGGCTTCGCCCAGCGGATCTCCCAGCCTTCCTTCTCGACCACGCTATTCGACTCTGAAATAAATACGCGCACGTCAGAGACGGCAGTCAAGCGCGTCGATTCCTCAGGATCGATACAAATACGCGTGGCACGGTTGAAGTTCTCATTTTGTCGGCCGGAAATGAATCGATCGCATTAATTCCGTACGCTCCGATTAAAAAAAAAAAAATAAACAAAAAAATAATAATAAAGGGGAAAAGCAAACGCGGCGGAGGAATAGTTTTATTGAAAAGGAAAAAAAAAAGAACGTCATCGACAGAATATTTCAGCGGGAAGAATTTATCGAAAAATAATTTCGGGACTAATTTCGAGTGGGTGGTGTGCGTCGTTATATTAAAAATCGCGAAATACTGGGCCGCGTAAATTCGTGACGCGCGTCCGCCGTCAATTTCTACCATTTCTGGCCGCTGTATATCCTTGCTGTTTCTCTTTTTTCTCCCTTTTAGGACCCGTCGCACGAAGCCGTTGCCCACACTGTTGCTGTTAACGTTCTACTCCGCCTCGACTCTGATTAACGCTCGCCGCTCGCATACTCACTCTGCATTATGTCCATTACGGCCTGCGCGGCTCCGCGATTCTCGTAGTGAATAAAAGCGAAGTGATTGATCTTCTTCAGCTTCAGTATCGGTACGTTGGTGTGCCTGTGGAAAACCTCCCTTACCTTCTGCTGCGACATTTCGAGCGTGAGATTCCTCACGAACAGAGCAGTCACCTATTTGTCAGCGGGTGCGTAATGTTGGATTAGCACGATGCGTTTTGTCTACGCGATCACGCGATTTCGCCACCTGCGCGCCAGGTACACGTCTTGCACACACCGCCATTTTTACCGAACATTCGCACCGGGTGCGCGTTTTCACTCGAGACGGAGGCTCCTCGGTATCAAGTATCTTTCTCTCCTCTCTCTCTCTCTCTCTCTCTCTCTCTCGGAAGAAATACCTTTGTCTTTTTTGCAACGACACGTGTACACTCACTCTTGGACGAGAAATTAGTCAGTCTACTTAACGTAAAGAACGAGCTTGCACGTGAAAGTCATTTCGACGCTGTTGTTGAAAGTCCGAGGAGTACCTCTGTATCAGGAAAAATGTGTAATTGTCAACCGTCAGACGGCGCGGCGATTAATAAATATGCATCAAACGTGTAGCGGATGCAGTTTAATGTTTTTCATTTTTCCTGATTCGTGGTGCGGCGCTTTTGCAATTATGCAGAACGAGATACACGCGCTGCGATTTACCCATCCCGTTAACACGCGTGTACACTCGACGAAACGCAGTATCATATGTTCTCATTCATATCCTCTTTACCGGTCGCTACTCGAGTATCGTGGCCGATTCTCGCGGCGCTTATCACGAATCAACGAAACACGATCGCGAATCGCGAATCGCGAAACGAGAGGCGCGAAGAAGACTTTGCAGAAGATCCGCGCGCACGCGGAACAAAAAAAGAAAAGATCGAGTCGCGAAGACGAGCATCACCGTTTCCATGATGTCCTCGTCGACCGGATCGCCCGGCTCCGGGTCCGCCCAATCTACGGCGATCTCGTGGTCCCACAGCATCACCTTGCCCGGTATCAGCTTGCGCCGGGCCATCGCGGCCGCCCGATGGTCCTTGAACTCGACGAAGATGAAGCCGCGGTTGAGCGTGCGATCGTGCGCGCTCGGGTACAGGTAGACGTCGATGATGCCGTCCAATATCTTGGTCAGCTCCGACAGGAACTCCTCCTTGGTCTTGCTTTTGGGTACGCCGCCGAAGAAGAGGCGGCAGTTGTCCATGGATTTGACAACGCCGATGCGGTGCCCCGGCCGGATCTCGTGGCCGTCGAGGACGCTGCAAGCCCTGCGCGCGATCCGCGGCTCCTCGTACAGGGCGAACGCGTAGCCGCGCGTCGACCCGGAGAAGTCGAGCATCAGCCGCAGCTCCAGCAGCCGGCCGACCTTCTCCAGCAACGGCATCAGCTCGTCCTCGTAGCAGTCGCGCGGCAACCGGCCCAGGAACACCTCCGCACCTTTGCCGCGCTGACACTGGCCGCGCACCACCTCCGGCGCCGTCAGCCGCCGCTGGCCGTTCTCCTGCGAGGGAGGATTACCAGATTTATTTTCTTTTCTTTCTTTCCTCATCTCTCTCTCTCTCTCTCTCTCTCTCTCTCTCTCTCTCTCTCTCTCTCTCTCTCTCTCTGTCTGCACCTCTTTATTTGTAAGCGACCGGTATAATAGGATAACGGCGAGCTGGAAAAATGTTCAATTCAAAATTGCTCGGGGAGAAACAAAAAGAACTTTCCCCACCGACGTCGATCTGCCGCATGCGCGTTCTTCCACATCGCGGGATGCAACGAGGATGATCTTTTTGCGTTACGAGCGGAAAAAGAGCGAGAGAGAGAGACAGAGAGAGAGAAGCGAGGACACAAGTGAGGCGTTTGTAACTTTGAAAAGAGTAAAAAATTTTTTAACCGCGCGGACTTTCGCGCGTTGTACACCTGCCCGCTTCGGGGATGATCATATTTTCTTGCGTGCGACTGGGACGGTAGATAAAAGAATTGGGACACATTTGAAATTTTCAGAACGACGAATTTCATGATATCGGCTTTTCCGGACGATCCTTTTACTGACGATTACCGACATTAATGTTCATGGGTGTGTGCGCGCGCGCACACACACACACACACACATACAGAGTCGCACTGTATTAATTTTTCAGTCGGAAGATTATATTTTATCGGATAAATTCATTATCAATTATTCGTCTCACGCACTGCAAGCGGCGGACGACACGCATTATAGGCGTTTTCTCGCGTTTTCTCTGCAACGTCAACGGGACGGGATGGGGGGGACGTCTACTATTGTTACCGTTCCGATTGTGATGGTTACATACGATTTGTCAACCATATACTCGCAGAGAACACACTGTGATCACAATTTGCCCACCCTGAATATTCCTGCCGTCTTTAAATTATCCCGCGTGGGAGAAGCCCGTACTCGGGCAGAACAGAAAATCATGATGACATCAAAATGATGAGAAAACTTATTTTTTCATCATGATTAAATCATGATTAAGTCATTTTGATTTTCTGTTCTGTCTGGGCCAGGTGGAACAGAAAATTATGATGACATCAAAATGATGTCAAAATGATGAGGAAAACTCTTTTCCTCGTCATCATGATTCGGTCATTTTCTTGTCATTTTGATGTCATCATGACTTTTTGTTCTGTTTGGGGGGGGTAACCCCGGTAGAACAGAAAATCATGATATCAAAATGATGAGAAAATGATCGAATCACGATGAAAAACTGAATTTTTCATCGTGTCACGATTCTGATGTCATGATTTTTTATTCTACCTGGGTACGTACGCATCGCGATGCTCTCTCCGTAAAATCCTCTCCCCCCGGCGTTCACGAAGTCAAGCTTAATTCTTTTCCGACTTCTCTTCGTTTATTATCGAACGAATAACGCGGATGTAACTCGCGATGAAAAGAGATACCTAGTATTCGCCGGATTCGCTTTCGTTTTACTTTAACAAACGTTGAGATCGCTCGTGAGAGACAATCGTACGAGAGACAGCGAAATCTACCAGGGCGGAAGGAGGGACAAGGGGAAGAAGAAGAAGACGAAGATATATATCGGGGAAAAGAGGAACATGCCATCACTCTACCTGGACGAGCTCGTAGTGCGTGCGTTTTAGCATCTCCAGGAGCCGCAGAGTACGCTGGCACTCTCCACTGAGATTTTCCGTGCCGTCATCCATCGTCGTCGTACGTTCGCGGTATACTGGCCGTTTGTTCGGGAGAGCATAGCGGGTTGCGTTGAGCGGCTGTCAGCGCGGGAGGGGTAGAGGGAGCGGAGCGCGACGACTTGGCCGGTTTCCTGGAAAACGTACGCTTGTTCGCGGTAGAGTTTTGCGACCAACCGCGCGCGCGGTTCTCGGAACGTCGGCGGTTTCGGCGGTTGGAATTTACGTGTGATTTTTTAATCTCTGAACTTTCCTCTGTCGAAGCGCTCGCTCTGTATCTGACTTTTTATGTTAATTATATGGAATATGGTGGGAAGTTGGGAAGACCGGGGTGTTGTTTCTTTTTCTGGTAATTGCAGTCGTGTATTCTCTGCTTTGAAAATACTTTTCCCAGGTCGAATTATCATTTACCTAAGACACTTCGTTTATTCCTTTTTCTCATTTATTTGAGACAATTATCGTTAAGACGATGTTGTTATTGTTAGAGCGACGTTGATTATTACAAAAAAAGATTTTATTCATGAAGTGTACATATCTGACCTTGTGTGGAAATATTTGTACAAAGTTGTGCAGATACGACTTGCACACAACTTTAGACTTGGTAATTTTTTTTTTTTTAAGAACGAGAGCAATGCAGAGAGATGTCAGTATCTGCTGGAGAAATACTAGCTGATGGTAAATTCCAGTCGATAATAAACGCGGTACCTTCAAGCAATCGCGCGTACAATATGGCCGGAAACTCCATTAGTACCGTGAGTCTTGCGATTCATAATGTATTCATTGTTCGTCGTGTGAACGACGTATGGTTGTCCTCTTTGCATACAATGTTTGTCCAAGTAGAGGTATAATTACAAGCTGTCGTATAATTATCCATTAAGATATGACATTTCACAGCATAATGCAAAATGCACTAGAATATCATGTATAAAATATATCATATATGTACCCGGGTATTGTAGCTTATATACTTCATTTAAAAAGATATGAAAATACATCAATATTTGCAGAAAGTATTTACTACAAATGTAAATTATATATAATTATATAACGAATGATACTCGCGAAATACATTAGTTTTTCTACGTGTTTACATTGTAATCTCGAAAAGGCAATATCACAGCGATAAAGTATGCGAGAGTGCGACTCCAAAATTAATTTCTCTCTTCAGAATTATAAGCTGTCCAAGTCGCAATCTATACATTTGAGATTGTTGATAGTATTGTAAAGTGTTCTTTGGGGCACAGGTACTTTAGTGTCAAAAGCCAAGTTTAGTTTCTTATAGTCGTCGACTAACTGATTAATTTTGTCACTGATATCCGGGCAAGTGACGCTATTTTCAATTATGTGACTCAGCCTGCCGACATCGTCCACACAGATCGAAAATTGTTCTATAAGCTGTAATTCCTCCTTCAATGCTGCGTTCAATATAGTCGTCTGGAAAAAAACGCTGAAGTTACATAATGGTTAAATGCTTCAGCAATCATATATACTGTGTGTATTAAATGGCAGCGGCAACATAGCTTCCTAGTAGTTAAAGCCTCGGACGATCTATAATTTATGATGCAAGTCTATTTGTAATTTCATGTACTGTGTAATAAAAAAAACAGCATCTTGGGATTTGCATTACAGTTTATCTAAAAGGAGCTAAAGAGAGAGAACATATGTATATAATATATACATACTCTTTTGGCTCTTTGCTGGAGATTATCCAGCTTCTCTTGCATATTCTTCAATTCTGCTTCTGTGTACTGTGTTGCCTGAATTTTATCCTCATCAGATAGGACATTAGGAGGTACAGTGATGAACCTGTTGATATTATTCTGAGGAAAGTCAAACAGGGTTAATATGTTGCCTAAGCGATTTAAATTTTAAATTTGATAATTGTTAGACATAGAAATCATGTATTTGTCATGTGTATGTGTGCGAAATAGATTACCTCAATGTTTTTCAAATGAGGCAAGGAAGCTACATGATAAGCTTTTATAAGTTGCTGTTCAATCGTCCCTAGTACCGCCAAGTCCTCAGATTCTAACTTACAAGTTTCCTTCAGAGTATCGCACAATTTCTTGCTCTTGGATTGTATTCTCTCCATTATGATATTTTTTACTACAACAGACAAGAGTAAAAGTAATGAGAAAGATTACTACATGCAGCCAAGCGCATTTTTCCTTGATGACTGCATTATCTGCTAGCTTTGAGGAAAAACGAAATATTGCCACTTTCTTCATTATAATTGCAAAATTCAACCATGTAGCGTTTTTAACAATTAACAAACGCGCAACTCGCGTGTGGCTTACGAAAAAGCAACAAGTTGCAAAACAAAAGAAGTGAAAGGAATAAAGCAAGTGCGCGCGCGGCGCTCGCAACGAAAATAAGAGCAAGAGAAAGAAAGCTCGTCGAGGGGATAAAGGGCGCTTTCAGGGGCACACTTCCGGCCCGGCTCTCTAGGTATTCCCGCCGGTGGCTCGCGCGTTTTTCCCGCCGCGTTCTCGGGACGAACACGGGGAAGAAAGAAGTCCCGAGGAGAGCTCCCGTCGCCGAACTTTGCGACAAACTTTCGCGGCGTGCGACGAGGATGTCCCGGTCGCTGGACGAGTGTGACTCTAGTCATGACTGTATGCCACATGAAACCAGAGCACACCCATCCAGCGGCCCGCAGGACCAGCGAGGGATGATCCGCCGTTGCGTGGATCCGCGATGCGACTCTGAAAAAGCATAAAAGACGGCGACTTACGAGTCGCGTACACGGCCCTGGAATGGAAGCCGAACAGCTGCATCTCGTATTCCTCGCATTTGCGCTTCTGCGACTCGGCGCACTCCATGCTGGCGAGTCGGGCGAGAAAAGCGAGGTATCCTCGGTCGGTCGGCGGCGTCTCTTCCTGCCCGCGACGACGGCGACGACGGTGACGGCAGCTGCTCCTAGCTCCTCCCGTCAGGGAACACCTTGACGTCCGTTAACAAATGAACATGGCGTCCTTCTGCCTGCGTACAAAAGCGTCCTTTGTCCCGTCGGCGTTCGTCGAAGCACCTTTCGCGTTACGATGCCGGCGCGCGGCGCTGCGCGCGAGCTCCACCGGATCAGCCAATCGGACCGACCGAGGAGCTCGACCACAGCGACACTGCGACGTTCCCGGCACCGACGAGGTGATAGAAAAACTGACAGTCCTGGGAAAACTTTCGTATCAACCAAGGGCCCGGAGGGGCCCGGAGGTAATTGAAGAGCAATGATAATACCGATTGTTTTAGCAACGCTCATGATAATACAGCTAGCAACTATTGCCGGTGCATGGCGAGGGGAAAGACAACACGCTGCTATTCATGTTTTTTATCTTCTTGCGCTCCTACGTTTCTCGACGCACGCCACCAGTAGTTGTTGAATCGACTAGGCCACGCTGTGACCCGCTGAACGGCTGCGATGCTTCTCCAATCATTCATCCCGGCGAGCGCTTACTCGTTAGAATTCTGTAATTAATAACTGCATGTAATTAATAACTGTTAAGAATATCGCAAAACGGTATGGGACTTTTATGTTTGTATTAACCCGCTTTATGTCTCCACGAGCTCTGCAACAATTTTTGGGAGATACCCTGTACATAGGATGTCGCAGAATAATTTTTATTATATATATATATTTACAAAATCGGTCCTGAAATATAAGAAATAAAAGTAAATTCATTAATAAATTTCTAATATTACAACAACTTTAATGGTTCCTACAGTACATGGGCATCTTCCTTATATTAGTATCTAGGGTCGTACAGAGCCCGATTTTGCATTTAGGTTCTTGAAAATTTGTAATAAATGAAAATATGGGCTCGTGCTACATCGCGGGATGAACGTTCATTCAAATTGTTTAATCGATTTTTATTTCGACTCTTTTTCCAAAAAAGTGCTCTGTACGACCCTGCGAACGTTTCTCCTGCATTGCAAATATCATAAATACATATAAGGTGATTCTCTTCGTATTTTGTTCATAATTTGTAGTATAATTTTGCCTAGTTCGCGGGTCTCCGCGAGAGGTGTCTCTAGTGTGGCTCCTGCAGACCCTTAAACGGAAGCAAAATACACACACGTGAGGCTTCCACTGGAATGTAATATTCTGTAGATATACGGCTATGTCGGTACGGTTTAGTTGACGAAAGACCCGTAAGATGGCAGCGCCATGTATGCCTGCAGATTTCAAATCCAACGGTCGGACTCCATCTTTCCTTTCCGGGAGCGCGCTCGAAATGGACCTGTTGCAGCCCGCTCGCGGCTCAGAACGAGACAAATATGAAAATTAATGTGAGTGACGCATGTATATCCGCTCATTCTGCTCCTCGCCAACTCCGTCACGTTGGTTATCGTTTGTGACACAGAATCTGCAATGTACGTCGAGTCCGGCCTGCATCGCGCGCCGGCGCGATCGTAACCTCTCACGGCGGCGCGGATCCGACGAGATCAGTCGAACGTTAGCAAATTGCCGCGCCATCGAAATTCTCATGTACATGCGCATATATTCGTCGTGCTGGTGAATCATTCGCGCCGATTACATTATATTCGCGAAAATAATGATAACGGCTGAGAGCGAGGCTCTCGTCCGTGCCGTGAGTTACAAAAGCGGGACTCGTGGCGCGCCGTTCACCTGGCGGACGCCAGGATTTCAAATAATATCCCCGACGTTTATCATTGGTTTATCATTGCGGCTGAGCACAAAAACGACGCTTCCTGCGTCGTAACGCTTTTTGCGTCGTAACTCGACGCGTCTATCCTCGCATAAAGATAGATCGGTGCAGCGAGAACATTAAAATGCATCCTTTACAAGCGACTCGAGATCAACCAGTAAATTAGCGGTACAACGTAAATTATTCAGGCATAAAATTTGCATACTTTTCGCGACGCATTCTTCGCAACGCGGAACATTCTTTCGCGATGCATTCGTAGAGAGTATCGTAAGACGAGGCGAGGACCAAAGATCATCTCCGCTTTAAATGTTAATTTTACTCGCGTGATCTCGGTGCGTGCTTACGCAGCAATAACGTTAATTATTACAATGTTGCAATCAAGCGTGGCCGCGAGTGAATCACGTTTTCCGTGTGTATTTGCGGTTGATATCGGAAGAATATTTCTCATGCGCGATTCGCTCCCTTCGCATCTCGCGACCACTTCTCTCGATGATCGTGGGTCTATTTCGGGGGAGGTGTAACTGCGCTCCTTTCATGATTCCTGAAAGTAGACTTTTCCTCGAGTCTGCCGAACGAGTTGACGCGCGACCGGATATGGTATTTCTCGTAAGAACGAACGCACTGTCTGTAATTCCCCCCGTGAAGAGAAAGAGATGTGGCTTCTGATGTTCGACCCACCGCCGCGCGTCAATTGTCCACCTTCTGTATGACATCATTATTTTTTACGGCGGCATTAGTCACGCCGTTGATAAGTCGTGCTCGCCCAACACCATAACGACGCGTTACGTCGATACGGCTGACTCCAAAAAGAGGTGCCTGTTTAACGGCGCAATTGCATACGTGTTAATTGTCACGATCGTCGTGATTCACTCGCTCCGCGCTAATACGTACGGTTATAGTACGATAATGAGACCGCGGTAACGCATAAATTGTAGAGTCCCCGAAGCGAGCCCGAGGAATAGAGCGAACGGAGCGTCGTCGGGTCCTTTTCCCTTTCGCGAAAGAAGAAACTCGATTTCCCGACGAAGGACGGGATTAATTATCTCCCGGGAAACATGTACACGCGTGTGGAGACGCGGTTCCACGTCGTTAGGCATCGACAAGCACCCACTTGGTACGTATAATTATGAAACAACTCGACGCGAAGTACTTGCTGAAGTGATCGTACGGGCGGCCTGTCCTTCTCGATCGTCGTGCAAAATTTCCTCCCGTTCAGTGACTCACAAACCTCTTTCTTCCATAGGTGAGCAGCCCGAACTCGACGTAGGAGAGGAATGCTGAACGCAGCCTTCGGGGAACAGGACACGCCGTCCTTCGCGGATGCAGAAGTGGTGTCGGTGTTTACATAGAAAGCGGGAATTAAACGTTTATGCTGTCATCGTGTCTTACACGATAAGGTGAATGGATAAAGCGAAGATTGCGCGAGGCGGTGGTGTTCGTCACATACGAATCCGGCCCGTATGCGAGTGCTGGTAAGTGATCGCCGGCATGCATGCCGCTTGTTTTATTCTAGGAGTGTCCGCGCGAGGAAATCTACCACCTACTTACATTCGCGTTCTTACGATCGACTTCGGCAACCGTCGCCGCGGTGGATTTATCGGATCGTAAAACGTTACAGCTATTGACGAAATCCCGCGAGTCTGTCGAGTGAGGCAAATTATAAGAAGCCTGTAGAAACTGTGCACAAGACTCGAAATCTACATATAACATATAAATTTACACAGGAATATCTGACAATTTATACAAGAAATCTGAGAGAGGGAGAGAGAGAGAGAGAGAGAGAGAGAGAGAGAGAGAGAGAGAGAAAGAGAGAGAGAGAGAGAAGTTTGTGCTCGTGCAGGTTTCGCGCGACGGTCGGACCTCTTTCGTTACTCCACTGATGTTTATTTATTTAACGCGATTAGCGGATATCGTAAAATTGCAAATCTGACGATTGTTACTAGCTGTAATCTTTTATCATCGCGACTACGTGTGATAGACGTAGCAGGCCGCGATAAGGCAATGTAAATTCTCGACTGGCGATGTGATCGCCACTCTAAAATGCAATTAACTTTATATCGGCTTCTATATCGATAACACGCGTCTTATCCGTTTCCGCGTTAATTCGCTCAAACTGACAAACTCAGCAAAAATGCGAAACTTCAATCTTCCTCGATATCGCGAGAGTTTAATCCTGTTTTAGTACATACTTCATTGCGTGTCTCGTTCTCAGATAACATTATCTCCAGCGAGACCCGGCGTTTCCGATTGAAATTTGCGGTTAACAAATGCAGAGTCCCTTTCACGGTGTCCCTTCCCGCGCGCGAAACTTCTCTCTCCCAATCTCTAAGGGCCATCACACGTAGAAAAATGTTAACCGTAACCGTAAGGTTGTAAGAAAACTGACCAATCACAGTCGATTATTATAATGTCACAAGAGGGAGGATCGACTGTGATTGGTCAGTTTTCTTACAACCTTATGGTTACGGTTAAAATTTTTCTACGTATGAAGGCCTTAAGAGATGACCAATCTCTTATTCTTCAAGCAGACAATATTCGTAGCGTCGTACTACTGGAAGAGCGATACCGTTTGTTCAGATTAAGCAACGCAAATAATTCGTTACATATAATTGACGTTCTAGCGTATGTAATATCCGCATGTGACAAAACATCATCGAGAAAGATACATATATTCAGACACACGTGGAGCAACGCGCGGCTCCCACACACAGCGACACGCCGTACACGTACACACACATACCCCCCACCCGCACGCACGTGCATGTGTGCGCGCCGAGAGTCGCCGACTGCGCAGCCCGGTCGCGCAGTCCCGTAAAAAGCCGGGGGCGCGATTCCGCGTCGTTCGTTCTTCGGCTCGTCGTGCACCACGCGCGCGCTCGTTCGCACGCTCAGTTTGTATTCGGTATTCGACTTGATTCGATTGAACCGCGGGTGTTTTGCAGGACGTTCAATCTCAGCCGGTGTTGTACCCGGGGGTGTCTGTCTCGCTACCAGGACACGACGCTCACGCCGACCGGAGGAATTTAACTTTCGTGCGGGACTCGGCCGGACGAAGAGGAGAGTGGTGCGCATTGTGCCATTAGTTGACAAGTGGTTTAAAAAAGCGAAGGACCGACGAGCCGCGGGAAGAAGAAAGATGCTGCCGCCGCGAATACTCGGTCTGCTGGTGATTCTCCTCGCCGTGCAGGGTGAGTCCGCTTCGTCAAGCAATTACTACCTCAGGATTCTCGTCCCGGAGCACGTCGCGCGTCCTATCGAGCTGCGAGCTGCGAGCTCGTGCGACTCTTGCGTATAAATCAAACGGCTTTCGAGGAGCTTTGGTTTTTTGCGGACTGATTTCACGGTATCACGAGGGTCGTCACGTTTGTTCAGCGACACGAAATCTGTCTCCGCGGAGACAGATCCGAAAGGTTCTATTTTTATCTCTGTTGACGGTCTTTCTGCAATCTTTAGAATCTTAGGACAAGATTCTCTCTTGTGTGTACTCTGACGACTCACGGAAGTTTTCACAGGTTAGAATCGATTATCTTAAAGTAAACATCGATCAAAGTAAATATCTTCAGACGCGCTACTTGAATGATCTCTCGGGCAAACGTCAGCATTGTCCGCTGAGCTGTGAACGTGATCTGAAGAAATAGGTCATGCAGCTTTTTAAAAATATTACGTGCGTAAGCGTACGTGGACGCTGTCGCGTCGCGTGATGCTGAGCTATCGAGTGTCGATTCGACGCAATAACAGCGAAATAAACGTCGCACGTAGAGCACGCATTTTCCATCAGCCTGAAATCACTCCACTCGCGATCGCACCTCGAAGGTATGATTTCCGCGCAGGAACAACGCATTACGGATACGCGTGTGCCGAGGACGGCATAATGTTTGAATAGCGCGCAATAATGAGCGCCAAACTGATCATTACGCCATCGAGGCGAAGCAGCGCAACGCAACGCCGATCAGCGTCGCTGGCCGATCTAGCCGGCGCGACAAAAATTGAGATTGCGCAAACGCAATTGCTGCGCCGGATCTCTCCTTCCCTCTCGAGCCGCGCGATTTATGCAAATAAGGAGCTCGATCGGACGAATTCATCGATGCGCGACAGCCCCGCGTCGAAACGTGTCCCGCGGCCGAGAAACAGAAGGACGTGAGTCAAATAGCGATTCTTTGAGACCGCCTGCGCTTGAGGAAGCCTACCCGTTGCTTTGTTCTCAAGTCTCATTTTACCGGCGCCGGCCGCGCACTCTCTATTCCCGCGGAGTTGTCCCTCGGCGCGAAATTAAATGCACTCTGAAGCGTCGGTGCAATTCGTCCGCTTCGATTGATTTCTTTCCACTCGCTTCGTATGCTTCGCACACACTCTGCGACGTGTAAGTCCTGCTTCCTTCATCATCGCGATTCACGAGCGCGCAAGAGTCTCGCAATCCGTGGACTTTGCGCCTTCCGCTCGTCGCATGTTGTTATGGAAATTGACGAAACCCCGAAGAAAGTCCACGTCTGCGTGCGAACGCTAAGCATCCGCGACCTCTCTCGACCCGTGAGGACGCGGGATTGCGCGTCGTTCTGGGTATGATCTGGAGTCGAAAGGAGCGCGCTTAGCGCCGACGAATGCACGAAACTTAACGGACCTCGGAGCGTCCACCGTAGAGAAGAGAAGCGGTCGCAACAATAGCCGTCCGTCATTGTGGCGTGCGACTGTGATCGGCGAGCAAGTCGTAATCGCCGGCGCGGAAGGAGCAATTACGTATTAAAAAAAAAGCTTAATTACGCTTCCTGATGTACCTACGCACCGGAAGACAACGCCGTTGCGGGGCGAGTCGGGTCGCGCGGCTGCGTTGTTGCGACTCATCGCGCAGCGACGCGCCGATTCGAAGGCGGAGAGTCGCGACGCGATCCTACGTAGGTCGATCTCGAAATTCGCCGGGAGAATTGAGAGAAATATGCAGCCCGACTACGGGCACGCGCGCGAGTTTGTCCTCCTTTGTCCTCCAGCGAGGAGAGAACTTTTTACGAGTCCGCGGAGTCTCCTCGCGACTGCTTTCACGGATGACGGATGACGAGACACATCAAGCGCTCTCGAGAGATTTGCTTCTACCGTGATTAAAATAACAAGTTCCGAAGATCGTCGAAGCGGCATCGAATAACGCGTGTTTCACCGGAAATACGTACACACCGCAAACAACACTGTAGCGAATTCGGAAGACCGACCAACAACGCGCGGGCCAACTTTCGCACGATCATCGCGCGGCCTTTCGTTCTCTCTCTCTCTCTCTCTCTCTCTCTCTCTCTCTCTCCCTCTCTCTCTCTCTCTCTCTCTCTCTCTCTCTCTCTCTCTCTCTCTCTCCCCCTCTCTCTCTCTCTCCCCCTCTCTCTCTCTCTCCCCCTCTCTCCCTCTCTCTCCCTTTCTATTTCCGGCCCGGCCGACGATTATATAATCCGTCATTAGTAATCAAAGGTCCGTCTCGGCGCATCGTACGGTCTAGCAAGAGGGTGAAGGCACAAGGGGATCTCTCTCCCCAAGGTTGTCGCCAAGGTGGGTTCTCGCAAAAAGCGCGTTCGCTGACGAATTCCATTGAGAAGCGGAGAGACTCGCGCGCGCGCGCGAGGCATCGCGAACCCGGTCGTAGTCCACGGAGAAACCGGTGGCGATGGTTGAATGGCCCGAAAATAAGATGAACGAGACTGATTGTCGGGTGGACGGCGGGATGGTGAGGAGGGAGGGGAGAGGGGGAAGGGATAGAAGGAGAAGTACGCGAAGGTAGAAGAGAGTGGGAGAGAAGGGACTCGCCAGGTGAACAGGAGTTCCAGGTAGGAGAGTGGGGCCCGGAGGGGGGCAGATGGTTGTTCGTGGGACACAGCTTGCTGGCTGGCTGGCTGGCTGGCTGGCTGGCTGATCGGCCAGTTTGATGGCCGGCTGAGCGAGAGGCAGTATTCGCAGCTTTTTGGTAACTACTCGTTCGTAGGAATGCTGCGCGGGCCTCGCACCCTCTCCCCCCCGCCCGCGCGTGTGCAGAGCGCCGTGTTCCATTTTCCTCCTCCTTAATAATAGGCGCGGCTCCCTTTCTTATTCTATGGACCACCGTGAGCCGGCCGACTCGTTTAATGCGCGAGCGTGCCGGTCCGAGGCTCCCGAGACGACGGTGGGATTAGGGTGGGATTAGGCGATTGCTCTTCATGTTGAAGCGGGTAATGAAGGGAGCAATAAACCCAATCGGTTCCCCGTGGAAAAGAAAGGAGAAGAAACGCGCCGACACTTGCCAGGTACGGGAGCGCCGTTCGAGCGCGCGCTTCAAGTTTGTTTTACACGGGGAGATTAAATGATTCGTTATCGCTTGCACGAGCGGTATGCGGCGAGCGCGACTTAATGAGACGGATAAGCAGCGTATGATCGGTGTAATGAAATTAGATAACGTGGATGGTTGTCGCGCGGCTTTATCGAGTCGACGGTTTTCTCTCTTTGAAGAGACTTTTTCTCTCGGAGGCTCGCAGACGCGTCGCACGTCGGAAAGTCAAGAGCGGAGCGTGTTGCCGTTAGGGCGCCATCTCCACGGGCGCGAGATAAGATCTGAGTTCAATGCACGAGTTACTGCAGGCGTCGTGATAATAACTGATAAAAGGAGAAGGTGCGACAGTGTGCCGCGGCGCGACCGACGACTCTTCAAGGACTCGCGTAGATTTGAATTGGTGATTCGGCGGCGCTCGGTGATGCATGAGCCTCTCGAGTCGCGCGCTAGCGGACTTGGGAGCGCGATAATTTGGGGGCGCGCGTGCGCCCGCGATGACAGACATTATTCGCGGCGCGCGCGAATTATGCGCTGCGATAGGTCGCGCAGCCGCGCTGAGGAATTTATCGCTCGGCCTGATTATCATGCCGCGTTCCGGGCCGTTTCCAGGTCGACTTAGGTTAGGCACTCGCTTCGAGTCGAATCTCTCGGCGTTAGATCGACGGGCAATTGTATTGGGTATCAAACTTAATTTTAAAGGATTTTTTTTTTGTGAAAATGAACGTTTATTTCGAAACAAAGTGATAAGTTCATGCTATTCAAAGTATTGTCCATCGTTAGCTGCAACTCTTTCTCATCTTTCCAGTAAGTAAGGTGGATTCCTCGGCGGAAGGACGAATCGTCTTTTGTGGTCGATCCATGAATCGAGCCATTTTTTGATATCTTCTGAAGAACTGAAGTGCTGGGCAGAAAGGTGATTCTGCATGGATCGAAACAAGTGGAAATCAGAAGGAGCAATGTCTGGTGAATACGGCGGGTGGAGTAGAACATCCCATCCGAGCAACTCTAGCTCATGCTGGAAAATCACTTTGTCGTGTCTTTTGGGCGCTTATTGCGCCATCTCTTGTAAATTCTTTACAATTAAGTTTAACACCCAATATTTTCAACCGCGTCGGATAAGATAAAATACCGAGCGAAGAAATACGTGGAAAGCGCAGCGCAGCGCGGCGCTCCCGGGTGGGCCGGCTTATTGAAGCTCCTCGATAATTAAGAACGAAGAAGCTATCGTTGGAGAGAGGCGACCGAGCCTTCCTCCCTGTTCACCTTCGAAATCCGACCCACTCGCGATCCGTGCGATTGATATTTCAACAACAGAACAGAACATTGCGCGGACGGTAGAGGGACTGAGAGCTGACTTGTTCTCTGATTTTTATTCGAGAGTTTCGACGATGGAGAAGAAATGTCTCGTCTTTTACTCGAAACTCGTGCTTGCGATAAAGAATAAGGACGACACGGCATCGTCGTTCGCTCGTCAGAAGAGCTCGCGTCACCGGCGCGCGCGCGCGGATTCACGCGCCCGTCCACGTCCTCAGGCGTCGTGTTCTTTCGAGAGAACACGCTTGTTTTTTAAACGGCAAACAAGGGGCGAAAAGGAAAAGCTGATTGCGACACGCGCGCATGATACGGCGAACACCCGCGCCGCGTTGCGTAACGAGATAGGCACTACAAGGATCCGCGCTCTTCTCCTTGAATCATCACTGTCGTTCTCCTCCTTCCGCCGCGCTGATCCGTGGAAATGTAAGGGTCAATGTAAATGAGCCCCGATAGAACTGCGAGGCGGCGATTAAGCTCCGAGCTGCTTATCGCCCATAACGTTTATCTCACGAATACGCGGGAATTCGCTAATTAGCGCGCGAGCGACTCTGCTCTCGATGTGCATCACGGAGTATCGCGCTCGATCCACTATCTCGTTTC